GAGCCATATTGTCCCATGGGTAAATACATAAACAACATGAAAAATCAAGGGGAACAAATAGCCCCAAACAAACAAAGGTACTTCAACAACAGAATCCATCAACACCACAGTAGAAGAAATGTCAGAGAAGGAATTTAGAAAATATATAGTTAAACTGATCTGCAAAGCAAAGACAATATAAGAAGTAAAATCAGAAAGAAAATACAGGAAGTAAAAGATCATTTCAAAAAAGAGAGATTCTGAAAAAAAAAATCAAGCAGAAATCCTCCAAATGAAGGAATCAATAAACCAAATTAAAAATTCAATGGAAAGCATCATGAGCATTTTAGACCACTTGGAAGACAGAGTTTCAGGCAATGAAGACAACATATATAACCTTAAAAATAAAGTTGACTGTGGAGAAAGGTGTTAAGATACCCTGAACATAACTTCCAAGAAATATGAGATAACCTGAAAATTTACAATTAATTGGGATAGATGAAAGCTCGGAGATACAAACCAAAGGAATGCACAATCTCTTCAATGCAATATTAGAAAATTTCCCAAACTTAAAAATTCTTTTGTGTGTGTATATTTATTTTATGCTGTTTTATATAAATTCTATATTTCATCATATTATAGAAAGCATTGCCCTTAACAAGAAAAAATGATTTTGACTATTGAGTACTATCAAACTGCTATATCTATACAGAGATAGTAACTAAATGTGTGATATAAAGAGAAGTGTGAATGGACAAACCCTGGATGAGACATACTTGTCTTCGTCTAAATGTCCAAATCATATATTTTAGTGCTGATGAACAGAAATGTTAGTATAGATATTTTTTCTCTAAGTTGTTTACTACTTTAAGATTTCTGTAAGTCTGTTTTGCTTAAGTGGTTTAAGATAATAATGTAAACATCTCCCCATAGACAAGAACTCCCAGGACATTTGAAATAAAGTTGTATATCTGTCAATCTGTGTGCAGTTTTATGCTACATGGCTGAGGCAAAAATACTAAGCTGTCATTTATTCACTCAATATATGGAGACTTACATCTCCTGGAAATGTGATTATTAGTCTTCATAAAATTTGCAATAAAAAGCTACTTTGACTGAATTCGTTTCTATTGCTATATCTCTGTCACTTTTACTTTCTCTCCTCTTCTGCACATCTTCACATTTTCCATGTCTAGTGACAGTGGAAAAGCAATGAG